CATCATGAAACTGACACACAATATTGATGAACTTCTCTGAGCAATCAAATTTTGCCATAATTTCCCACAAGCTTTCATGACAGACAGCATCAAATTTCATCATTAGATCAACAAACATTGTGTACAGACCTCTGTTCTGCTCCTAGCATTTTTCCTGCAGTTGTCAGGCAGCAAACACCATATCTATCATTCTTCAGCCCTTTCTGAAGCCATGCTAGCTCTCAGATAAATGACTATCTTCCAGGTGAAGAATCAGTCCATTAAGGACTCCTGTAAAAATTTTGCCAGCAATGGCTAAGAGACTCTGCTGAATAAAAGGGCCAAGGTCTCCCACTGCATCCTGGGCCATCTCCAGTCATCCTGAATGATATCTGGCCACTGGACCTAGATGGCTCTGGAGGAAAAAATTAAGTTGGTGACTTTGCACAGCTGTCCCTCACTCAAATCAAAGTCAATTGCAAGTCATGTCATCATCTCCCTGATGTCATAGTCCTCTTCGAGAATGAAGTACAAACCACACGGATCTGGGCAGGGAAGACCCTCAGACTTTCTGGCCAAAACAGAAACAATTGTTATTTACATTCATTCTGAGCCAGTCAGGACCCAAACAATGACCAAGGAGGGCTTGGTCTGGGGCCAGAGTGATTTGGGGTTAAGGCTGCTCTATAAGAGAAAAAAACAAAACAAATTTCAGAGATTAAAATTTACATTCCCTTTGGGCTGAGAATCAGTAGAAAAGGGTATGAAAAAGAGATCTAAAAACTTAAAGAAGAAAATACTCCTTGAAAACCAGAATTGGGCAAGCAAAAGCTAATAATTTTATAAGACATCAAGAAATAATAAAACAAAATCAAAAGAATGAAAAAAGAGAAGAAAATGGGAAACATCTCATTAGAAAAACTAGAGATCTGGAAACCAAATCAAGGAGAGACAATATAAGGACTGCTGGACCACCTGAAAGTTACAATCAAAAAAAGAATCTTGATACAATATTACAAGAAATTATTTAGGAAAATCGCCCTTAAGTTTTAGAACAAAAAGACTAAGTAGAAATAGAAAAAATCCACAAATCACCACCTGAAAGAGATTCCAGGAGGAAATATCATAGCCAAGTTTCAAAGCTCCTAGGTTACAGAGAAAATACTACAACAAGGAAAAAAATTTAAATATTGCAAAGCTATAATCAGGATTATCACACAAGACCTAGTAGCTTCTACATTAAAAGACAAAGGTCTTGCAACATTATATTTCAAAGAGCAAAAAAGCTGTGGTTGCCACCAAAAATAACTTACTCAGTAAAGTTGAGTATAATCCTGAACGCTTTTTTAAATGGACATGTAATGTACTGAAAGATTTTCAGGCATTATAACAAAGAGATCAAAACTCAATGGTCATATAAGATTCAGGAGAAACATAAGGTAAACATTAAAGACCAATTATAAGGCCCTCAATAAGATCAAACTGTTTACTTCTTATGTATGAAAATGTTATCAATACTCTTAAGACTGTCATCATTACTTGGGTAGTTTGAAAGAAGGGCCTGGACTGAGCTAAATATGATGGGGTGATTCTAAAAAACAAAACTGGGTAGGGAAAGGTTAAAAGGAGCAATTATCTCACATAAAAAAGGTATGAAAGGAAGAACTGATACAGAGGAAACAGGTTGGAATGGAGGGCTGGTAGTGCTGGAACCTTACTCTCATCAGAATTGGGTTAAAGAAGGAACAACATATACATATAAAAGGATATTTTTAAAAGTCTTCTGAATTTATAAAGAAATAACAGGATGCAGAGGATGACCTTGGCATTTCTGGTGTCTGACCAAGCTCTAAATGCTCCACAGCACCTGCTACAGCTGCCTTCGTGACTGTTCAAACAAACTGTTCTCATCCATCCCTTCTGCCAAGGAAAGTCTTCACATGCTTGGGATAAATATCTCCCTAAGTCACTAGAGAATTTGAGACCCCCTCTGTTAGCCTCAACCTGGTTTAGCCCATTTGCCAAAACAGTTTACCAGAATATGGCTGCTATGTATGTTATAACTTCTTGGAGCCACAGGTGAGAGTTGGAAGAATCAGGTGGACCCCGAAGCAGAAAACAGTTCTAAAAGGTCGCAGCAGCTCTCACATCAGAGGTACTAGTCTTCCCTGAGCATCCTATACCCCAGCTAGTAAAACTACAGTAGTGGAGAACTTCAACTTAACTCTCCTAAACTTCGATAAATGAAAACAAAAAAGAAACGAGAAATAAGGTAAGGTGTTGAATAGAATTTCTAAAAATGAAACACCAGAAAATTTTCAAATGTAAATGAGAAAAGTCATATTTCTCAGCTATTTATGGTACCTTTACAAAAACTGACCATGAATTAGGAAATCTTACAAACAAATGCCTAAAGCAAAAATACTAAACATCTTTTATGGACCACAATACAACAAAAATAATACTGAAAAACGTACTTACAAACAAAAATTAAAAATTATTGGAGACTAAATCCTAAAGAACGATGGGTCAAAAAAACCAATCAAACAAACAACTGATAATTTCATTAAAGATAAGCACAACAATAAGACAACATGCCAAAGTTTTAGAGATGCCATCAAAAGCGTCTTTAGGGGAAATGTGTGTATACATGTATATACATACATATACATATACGATTGTGTGCACATGTAGACATAAAACACTTTAATCAATAAAAGAGATCAGCAAATGCATACGCAACTAAATAATTAGAAAAGCTAATAAATGTTTTAAATCCCAATTAAGAACCAAATGAAAAATACTGAAAATTGGAGAATAACGAAACTGAAAACAAAACTTTAAAAAATCAATAAATAAAAGCTAGTATACTGGAAATACAACAAAAAGAATGCCAAAAACAATCACTAGGGTATGTAATTTTTTAAAAGAAGAATATCAAAATAACTATATCTAAAATAAAAAGTGAATACACAACCATTGTGGTAACAAAAATTATTAGAAACTATTTCATTATTACATCAGAAACTATTTCAATATATGAATAAAACTTATAATCTAAATGAAATACATGAATATTTTACAAAAATAAAAATACTCAAATTAACAAGAGGACTTAAATATCCTAATCTCAGAAAAATATATTGAACAATGCAAAAAAGAGTTAAAAAGGAAAAATCATTAGGAAAAGATGTAATTACAAGTAAATTCTATCAGATGTATGAAGAACCATTAATTCTAATACTATAAAAGTCTAATTTCCTTCACATAAAGCCAGCACTTCCATTTCTTGCAGACAGCTATAGTGGACACTCTTCAGCTTATCAATACCTTCCTAAAACATGAAATCTAGATATGATTGCAATATTCCAGATGTGGTCTGACCAAGACAAAGAAAAATGAGACTATCACCTCTCTAGACCTGGACTCCATTCCTTTCTTAATGTAGCTTAAGATTGAAATTGCTTTCTTGGCTGCCACACTACTTCAGATCATATGCACAGCTTTTAGTAGACTGAAAATCTCACATCTTTTTCAGGCAAAATGCTGCAGAACAACACCTACTCAATTTTATATTTGTGCAGCTGATTTCTGGAACTCAAGTGTAAGATTTTGTATTTATTTCTATTAAAATATGTCTTACTAGCCTGCATCTAATATTCTAGGCTATCAAGATATTTCTGAAGACTAGATGTTAAGTTCTAGAGTAAAATCCTGAAAGATGTTAGCTACCCATCACAGCTTTGTGACATCTGGAAATCTGATGGATATGCCATCCTATTCCATTATCCATGTCAGTGATGAAAATGTTAATCAATATAGGGCAATCACATAGCCCTAGAGCATCCTACTGGAAACCTACTTCTAAGATGATAAAAAACAAACAAAAATAAGTTAAGGACTACTCCTTTGGGCCCAGGCATTCAACTAATTCAGAATTTGCCTAATGGCACTATCATCTAACCATTTTTGTCCAAATGAATCATATCTGAAAAATATTTTGTTAAAATCTAGCTAAACTCTCCACAGTCTTCATCTGCTATGCCAGACTCACATCGTCATCATTTGCTTTACACTTTGGGTGAGACAAATGATTATTTCTCTCACATAATTAACCAATTATTAAATTAGGATGAAGGTTTTCCCTTCTTATTTCCTCATTCAGAAACCAGCCCCTGTAGGTTATTCAGTCTGTCTCTGATGGATGAGACTGCCCAAATCCAAAGGCCACATGCTTTTCGATCTTTCATGGGACCCCCAACAAGAAGACCTTACAAAGAGAAACTTATCTAAGGAGAAGTCTTAGCCCACCATCATCCATTGTTCATGAACTGGGTAGACATGGATACCTTCATCCAGATAGGCCAGGAGGCAGCTGAGCCTCATCATGTCCTCAGCAGGAAGAGCTGAAAGGTCTTCGGCCACCTCCTTAATAGTTGCTAACCAATCATAGTTTATTTCCACCCTCAGGTACGAGCCATTTTCCAAAGGCATTCAGTGTTCCCCAAGGTTCATCTTTGATTTCCGAGAGTGACACTGATGTTATTTTATTAAATATTTGCTAGCCATAATTAATAAATTGATTATTAGTTAGCCAGAAAATCTGTATCTCGGAAAATTTCATTTGTCACACTGGGCAAGATATAACCTCTCCAAATGTCAGTTTTCTACTCTGTAAAATGGAAATAGTAGCACTTACAAAACCTGTCTCACAGCACAACTATGATGAAAACACTTTGGAAACTCTGAAGGATTATGCAAACATAATTCATTGATGCTATCACTAGTCCTCACATTCACACTATATGAAAGCCATCTATGCTTTATGTCTGATTGCCTTATTTCCAATGGAAAAGTAAGCAAATAATACCTATAATCCTACCAGTATTTTAAGAGAGTTTTTTAATCCTATGGAATTTACTACTCTGTTTTCTTTGAAAAGTAAAGTAATAATTTTAATGATAATCTATTAAAAACTCCAAAAGTCATTTTGTGGTGTTCTATTTATAAAAGCAACTAACCTCAGGATGACTTCTAGGAGGTAAGCGTTCTCTTGGAAGTCTGTCATACTCATAGCGTCCTTCAGACCAAATATCATCTCTTCTATATGCCACTAAGGAATAAAAAAGAAAAAAAGAACCACTTTTTTTTATATTTGTATACTTACCAGGATAAACTACTTAATAAACTCCTCAGCCTAGCAGTCAAAGCCCTCTACCTTTCCAATTTTTATACAACCCCTTTAAACACTTGATGACTCAGCCAAATTGGACAACTCAACCACACTCCTGTATAATCCTAAACCACCTTTGTAAGTGTGCTTACCCATGAAATGTTCTTCATTCACCCATCTGACTGCTTGAGTCCTCCCCAACTTTCAAGTTTCAGATACAGTTACCACTTGCCATAAAACTTTCCTTGATGCTCTCAAACTGATATAATCCACAAGCCTTGCACAAACCAATGTATAATCACATTTTGTTCTACATTACAATTATTTGCATATTTGCCTTCTTTTCCTTGCTAGATTGTTAACTTTAGGGTGGCAGTTAGTCATTCATTTATCCCCTCCTTATTCTCCCACCCCCGCCCAGCCAGTACAGAACCTTACAAAGGGTATATGTTTTTACACTGTATTTACTGGAACAGAGGCCATGCTTCCACCTCCCCCCGCAAAAATGTGGTTTGAATAAAGAAAACTTAAGTGAAGTCTATAATCAATGTGATTTATTAATGTATGTCTATATAAATATAAGTATTTTTGTTTTCCAAGAGATATTGTTTTAAGGGTATGAGGGATATTGGGTGAAAAGTATATATCTGATCTAAAATAGAAAAATAGAGTGGTCTAAATAGAGTGAATCTCTGAAAGTAAAGTGAGTTTCTCTAATACAAAGATCAGTCAGTTTCCCTTCTCCATTCAAAAATTCTGGAGAAAATTTAAACTTCAAAAATAGCTTTGGTTTTTTTTGAAGTGGGAAGATTATGAAAACATTTATGCTAAAACTTTTTTAAGTAAACATCAATAAAAGTTAAAATAAGCCTATGTTATCAGATTGCACACCATCTTAGGGAGGGGAGAGAGGAGTGATGAGAAAACTTAGAACTCAAAATCTTATAGAAGTGAATGTTGAAAACGAAAAACAAATAATTTTTTAAAAAGAAAAAAACTTAAAATAATCCCATATCTTTGGATGAAATAATAATTACTTTGATATGACTAAAAATACTACTGTTAAAAATGAATTTGGCTAATCTATCACCGTCCCTCCAAATAAATAAGAGCACTTACTTGTATTTTTTCAGGAATCAACGAACTCCTATAAAGGAGGGAAAAAGTACAGATTTAAACAGCTGTTTCTATACAAAGAATTAAACAGTTAATCTAAGATAAAAGTCACAAATACGTATAATTCACATTGCCATAAACTTCACAGCATTAAAAACATAAGGCAGGATTCTGGGCCTAGGAGGCCATTTATAATGAAAATAAACAAGAAATAAAATTAATGAAATGAATAAAAGGTTTTATAAAATTTAAGGACATACTTAAAAATTTCAACCATATTAAATATTGTCCTTTTTATCAAAGTTAAATGCCATCTTAATATACTCAACTTCAAATAAGTCATGCTAATATTTCCTATCATTAAACATATTCAAGACGAAAAATAATTCCATGGCAATATTACAAAATTAAGCAATTAACTTTACACCTCCCTCACTTTTATATTTTGAATACAGAATTAGCCTTAGCAGATAAATTATTTCATTCCATGGCTTTACAAAGCATTACAAATTTCCTTTCAATAGTCAATAAATATTTATTAAGCATCTACTATGGGCAAGGCACTGCAGTAAGCACTGGGCATACAAAAAGAAAAACAGTCTGCCCTCAAGGAATTAACAATCTAATGGGGGGACACAAAAAGAAACTGAAAGGGGAGGGATGTAGAAGGTACCCACTGCAGGGATATGGTAGAGAAGTCAAATGATGATTTACAAACTAAAAATGGCCACCTAAAATATGTTTGAGATGACTGAGTAAGAGAAATGGGAATCAAAACAACTCGAGTTTTTAATCACCCACCAAAATGGCAAAAGTGAAAAAAAGAAAAATCAATGTTGGAAGGGCTGTATTAAGAGAAAGCATACTGACGTATCAAGTTAAAACTGTGAAGTGGTCCAACTATTCTGGGTTTTAATTTGGAATCATGCAAGAAAAACGACTGAACTGTCCATACTATCTCACAACAGCAATAACATTAGTGGATAAATACTTCAAGAAAGTCAAAGAAAGAAATAAAGGACCAATGAACAACAAAATATTTGTAGATGTAGTAAAAACTTTAAAGAAAGTTTTACATCAAGGGCAAATGCTGAAAACACTACGGCATATGAATACAATAATATTACACAGTGAGAAATACAATTACAAAGTGAAGAAATAAAAGCAGACAAAAGAGAAGAATATACACAACTACAACCACATTAACAAATCAGAGAAACTCAAAATTTAAGAGTTGGGAAAGTGACTAGTCCAACCCATATATTTTTGTGATTGTTCAGTTATTCAGTTGTATTCGACTCTTTGTGACCCCATGAACCATAGCACAACAGGCTCTTCTGAGGTAAGGAATTGAGATAGCATAACAGGGCATAAACCCCAGTGCAGAAAGAGGCTCTGTGTCAAAAGATGCAGAAAAGTCAAGATTGATGAGGATTCGGCAGAGGTCACTGTATTTGACAACTAAGAGAGCAGGTTGGGTATAATGAGATGTCTTATTACTCTCTCCCTCAAACATCCTATGCACTCAGTTCCTCAACTTACTTTCCATGACCTACTCTTCTACCATGTACAAAAATTATTATGTACTTGATCTTATGATCACTCAAAAATATACCACCTCCACATTTAAGAATTCCAAAATCTCCTCATTTGACTTTAATTTATTGGCTTTCCACCTCTCCTGCCTTCCCTTACCAAAACCTCTTCTTTGTTCACACTGGAACCTCCAATCTTGTGACCTCTCAGTTCTCTTCTGGCCATCTCCCCTACAGTAGCCACTCTGTCCTCTTTTCCCCATCTTAACTCCTTGGTGAATCAGTTCAACTCTACACAGTCCTCTTTTCTTGAATCCTTTGGCCCCCTTATCTCTTAATTTTGCCCTTCCAAGCCTCGACCTGGGATCACACACTACATAGATGCTGCTGAATGAAGGCAAAGAAAGTCACACAATCATTCTGACTGGGGTCACTAAACAGTTTTGTTAGACAACATCAACTGGGACTTTACTGCTTTTAGATAATCCTTCTAAACCAGGTCTGCACAACATACGGCCCACCAAAGAATTTCAGGCAGCTGTCAGGAGACCCGCGGCAACCAACCATCTTCAGTCTGTCTCTGGTAACTAGAGATTTTAAATCTTTCTTATCAACTTACTATCTTTTACTATCTTATCACAGGAGTTCTTCCAAACCTTTTCAACCTTCCTCAAACCTCCCATGGCTCCCTCTTCCCCTACCCTATCAGCTGAGAAGCTTGCTTCATATTTCACAGAAAAAATTGAAACCATTCACTACCAGCTCCCTCTTCTTTCTCATCTGCTGTCACTCAGGTGCTTCCTGCCTATACCTCCTCCTTTACCCCCCTCTCACATAAAATTGGATTTATTCCTTAACAAGGCTCACCACTCCACCTGGACAAGCAATCTCATTCCAACCCATCTCCTCCAACAAACTGCTCCTCAGTCATCCCCTCTCTAAAAACTTATCTTCAATCTCTGTTTAACGGCTCTTTCTCTACTACCTCAAACATTTCCCTGGTTCCTCCCCTCAATCCTCAAAAAACTCTCACTTGACTTTTCCATTCCCACTATCATCCTTTATCTAGACTTCTGTCCTTTGTCCCCAACTCCTTGAAAAAAACCATCTACAATAGATGCCTCTACTTTCTCTCCTCTCACTCTTCTTAAATCCATACAACCCAGCTTCCAACCTCATCATTCCAATGAAAATGTTCTCTCCAAAGTTAGCAATGATCTTAGTTGCCAAATCCAATGGCCTTTTCTCAATTCTCTTTCTCTTCAATTTCTCTGCAGCATTAGATATTAAACATTGTTAATCACTCTCTCTTCCTTGATACTAAGTTTGGAGACATCATTCGCTCCTAGTTCACCTCCTACATATATGAAAGCTCCATTGTGTCCTTTGTTGGATCATCATTCAGTTCATGCTCTCTAATCATAGATGTCTCAAAAAGTTCTGTCCTGGGCCCTTATATCATGTCCCTCCAGACTATGCGGCTTGCTGATCTCATTAGTTTCAATGGATTTAAATACCATTTCTATTCTGATGACTCTCATACCTACCTATTCTGCCCTAATCTCCTCACTAACCTCCAATTTTGCCTCTCCAACTGCTTTTCAGACATCTTTCTAGGTGTCCAGGAGATTTCTGAAACTCAGAATGTCCAAAACAGAACTCATTTCCCCCCCTAAATCCTCCTCTCTTCTTAACTTTCCAGTCCTTCAGGCTCCCAATCCAGGTGCCCCTCTCAATCTTATTTTCCATATCCAGCCTGTCGATTTCACCTTTGCAATATCTCTTAAATATACCCCCTTCTCTCCTTTGATACTGCTACCCCAGTGATACAGGCCCTCATAACCTCAAACTCAGACTACAACAGCTTATTGATGAGTTGGCCTGCCCACTCCAATCAGTCTTCCACTCAGCTGCTAAAGTGACTAAAACACAAGTCAGACAATATCATGACCAGCCACTTCTCCTGTCTCCATTTATTCAAAAAACTCCAGTGGCTTTCTTATCTCCTCTGGGATCAAATACAAGATCCTCTGTTGGTGTTCAAAGCCTTTCTAACCTAGTGTTTCTTTTCATCACCTTCTAGTCTTTACACCTTATTTCACACTGCATACTCTCTGATCCAGTGACACTGGGATCCTTTCTGTGAACCATGAACAAGACATTCTTCTGGCTCAATACATGTATGCTTATTTATAAATTACATAGATTTGCTATTATGCTAATATATATTGTAAAACACACATTATAACATCAACTGTGCATTCTACATTAAAGCAAGGCAAACATTCTATTCAACTCTATTTGATTTGTTATTCCATCACACTCAGTGGTTTTCTGAAACTTCATCTCTCCTCAAGTCTCCCACTGCACTGAAGAACCTCACTGAAAAATCCTTTTTCTCCTCCTCCACATCTCTCACATCATTCAAACATTTTCCTTCGTGATTTCCTCTTTCACTTCAGTCTAGGATGAAGAGATGGCCCTTCTTCTTGTCATGGCAAACCTTTCCATAGGCACCCTTCATTCCATTCCTTCCTAACTTTTCCAATACATTGTCTATACTATCTTTCTCTTATCTCAATCTCTCTTGATCGACTGGCTCCTTCCCTGCTGTATACAAATATGCTCATGTCAAATACAGGAATAAATAGGGCTATATCCCAAAGAGATCAAACAAATGGGAAAAGGACCCACATGTACAAAAATATTCATAGCAGCTCTTTTTGTGGTGGCAAAGAATGGGAAATTGAGAGGATGCCCATCAATTGGGGAATGGCTGAGCAAGTTGTGGTATATGAATGTAATGGAATACTATTGCGCTATAAGAAATGATGAACAGGCTGCCTTCAGAAAAACCTGGAAAGACTTATATGGTCTGATGCTGAGTGAAGTGAGCAAAACCAAGAGGACTTTGTACACAATAACAGCCACATTAAGCAATGACTAAGATTGTTAAACTGAACCCTTCTCAGCATTACAAGGATCTAAGACATCTCCAGAGGCCTCAGGATGGAAAACGCTGTCCACATCCAAAGAAAGAACCATGGAAGTCAAATCACTATCACTTATTTTCACCTTCTGTTGAGTTTTGTTTCTTCTTTCTGATGGTTCCTCCTATTGGTTTTAATTCTTACTTACAACTTCACTAATGTGAAAATGTCTAATGGGTATGTAAATGTAAAGCCTATATCAGATTGTGTGCCATCTTGGGGAGGGGGGGGGGGAGAAAGGGGGAGAAAAATTTTCAACTCAAAAGCATATGGAAGTGATTGTTGATAAATCAAAATAAATTAATAAAATTAAAATATCAAAAAAAAAACCAAATACAGGAATAAAGAGAAACATTAAAAAGATAAACATGAATGAATGATGATAAAGGACTAAACAAAGATGGAATGAAAAAGAAAGGGAATAAGCATTTATATAGCACTTATTGTGTGCCAGGCACTGTGCTAAGTGATTTACAAATATTAGCTCATTTTGTCCACATAAGAACCCTGAGAAGTGGGTGCTATTATTATCATCTCCATTTTACAGTTGAGGAAACTGAGGTAAATAGAGGTCAAGTGACATGCCCAAAGTCACACAGCTAGTAAGTTTCTGAGATGGGATATGAATTCAGATTTTCCTAACTACAGGTCGAGTGCTCTATCTACTGTGATACCCAGATGAGATAGATATATATATATCCATCCCCTCTGGGCCCCAGTTAGCACCAAGAGTCACAAAGGGAGTCCAATTAGAGTAGTTCTGGGAGTGGTTCTTTTATGTCTTCATGAGTTTATGAAAAGAATGGGAAGAGAAATACATGGGGAGAGGTGGGGAGCAGGGATTTATAGAAAATTATTTCATATAATCAAGATACCCAAGTAGACATCTATAAACAAGGAGAAGGGAGTGATGGGACCAGGTGACACCTGAACCTCACTCTCATCTAAACTGGTTTACAAAGGAAGAATACACACACCAGTACACATATACACATGCATGCACACACTCACACATACAGAAATACATTTCATTTGAAAAAGAAATTGAAAAGGGTAGAGGCGGAGTGAAAATTTGAGGGAGGGATCAATACTAAGGAAAATAAGGAAGAAGGATATACCCAAAAACTGTTTCTGAGATGGTAAAGATTGTGAATCTTAGGGGGTCCACATAAATTAGAGAATGGATAAACAAAGTATTCCAATCACATATAAATGTGATTGGAATACTATCATGTTGTAGGAAATTATGAAGAAAGCTAGGAATACTTATATTGGTTGATAGAGTGAAGTGAATAAAACCAGAACAATTTGTATAATGACATCAATATGATAAAGGCAAACAACTTGAAAGGAATTAGGAGTTCATGTCAAGCATAATGACCAACCATTATTCCAGAGGCCTAATGATGAAACATGTTTCTACCTACTGATAAGAGAGATAAAAGACTCATGGTGCAGAATGAAACATATATATGCATATTTTTTGACACAGCCAATGTGGACATTTGTTTTGATTTATTATATATGTTGGTAATGGGGTTTGTTTTTCTTTAGTTCTCAAGTTAGGGAGGGAAATTTGGGGTCAAGGTGAAAAGTGAAAAGGCAGATTTTTGTTGACTCAAAAATATATGTCTATGTGTGTGCACATATGTATGTGGTAGTATGTATACACAATACACATACAAACACATCTTTTTAAAAGTGAGATTCTCCCCTGCAAAATTCCTACAAAAAATCCAGAAGATGCTGAATCCTAATGGGAAAATCCAAGAAAAACTCACAGTGAATCATTTTTCCTGCCCAGGTCAGCATGGGGAGACAGAGAGAGGTATGAGGACACAGGTCTGGACAGGATCATGCTACAGGCAGAGTATGTTAGTGCAGGCAAGAGTACAAGTGTCACCTGGCATCTCAGTTGCTTACTATACAGCTTCAGTGGTCAGATCCAGAACAGACTGAGGAGATCTGTGCTCACAAGTGTGGTTCTGGTAAAAAGGAGCAGTAGTGGAATGAATAGGTTCTAGCAAAGAATAGGTTCATTAGCACACAGCTGCAGTGTGACCAAGACCTCCAGGGAAAACAGTCTCACTTCCGGATTCTAGTCCAATCTGAAGCCTACAAAGGAATAACTAGCGCATGCTGACAGTAGCTAAGTCCAGCATCAGTCTACTCTTGTTCAAATCCAAACCCAAGTTATGAATTTGTAGAGTTCAAACCAAAAAGGCAGCAATCAGACTTCATCCTGGATCAGACAACTCTGAGAGCTCAGTATCTCCAAGAAAGCAGCAACAAGACCAGCCCAGCAGACTTTCCCTCCTGAAGTACAGAGCCCAGCCTTAATATCATCTGAGGTCAAGGAAGTAAGCTGGAAGAATGAGCAAACAAAAGAAGCATTCTAGCATAAGGAACTATTATGGTAGCAGGGATGCTCAAGACACAAACGAAGAAGAGAGTGACTCTTAAACATCTACAGGCAATGAATGCTTCAGAGAAGAACAGATTGGGCACAAGGGCACAAACACAATAAGAATTTTAGGGAAAGATGAAACAAGAGTTTAAAAGAGCTAACTTTTTTTTACACATTGAGTGTGATCACTTAAGAAAAAAAAATTGGAAAAGAAATGAGTTTTGGAAGAAAGAATTAGAAAGGGAGTTGACACCCCGCCGCCATAAGAGGTACAAAATCTTGCCCACACAACAAACTCACTGAAAATCAGAACAGAGCAAATAGAAGCTAATATTTCCATGAGATATCAAGAAATATTCAAAGTCAGAAGGCTAGAAAAAACAGAAGAAAATAACACAGCAAAAACAACTGAGCTAGAAAACAGACTGAGGAGAAAAAAACTTTAATAATCTTTAGACCATTTCAATGCCATGACTGAAAAGAGCCTAGGCATAATATTTCAAGAAATCTAAGAAAACTGTCCAGATTTCTTAGAACCAGAAAGTAAAGTGGAAATATAAAGAATCCATCTGTCAGCTCTTGATAGAAACCCCAAAATAAAAACTCCAGGTAAAAGAAAAAATCATTTAAGCAGTCAGAAAGAATTCAAGAACCAAGGAGCCAGAGTCAGGAACAATTCAGCAGTCATCAATATGAAGCAGCAGAGTGTAGCATACCATATTCCAGGTGAAAAAGGATCCAGGCTTACAGCCAATAATAAATTACCTAGCAAAACTGAGTATATCATACAGGCAAGAAAACTGTACTTTATAGAAGACTTCTTAAAAATTCCTGATAAAAAGACCAAAGCTCCATAGACACTTTGAAGTTCAAACACAGGAGGTAAGAGAAACATAAAATGGTAAATACTTTTTATTAAACTGTTTACATTCAAATATGAGGAGATGATGCAATGTCCCCTCTGAACCCTAACATCAAGGGCCATAGAGTCCAATTAGATTAGGCCTGGGAGTGGTTTGGTTTTGTCTTGATTATCTAATAGAAGAATGGAAAGAAAAGGGAAAAGGAATAATGAAGGGGAAGGGAAAGGAAAGTTAGAGAAAATGATCTCACATAATTTAGATACATAAGTATAACTCTATACAAACAAGAAAGAAGAGGTGGGGAGAGCATCTAATACTTGAACCTCACTTTCATCAGAATTGGTCAAGGAAGGAAAGAATGGGTACAGAAATAATCCATGCAATAGGGAAACATGACAGAAAGTGGAAAAGGGGTAACCAAGAGGGCAGTTTAAGAGAGGAATTAGTACTAAGCAAAACAGAGTTTAAGTAAGAAAGTACAAGCATTTTTATATTTCTTTGTGAGGTAGCAAAGAAAAGGAATCTGAAGGGGTACTCATAAATTTGGAGATGGCGGAACAGATTATGGTATATAAATGTGATTTTGCGGTGATATTGTTGTGCTGTAAGAAATGATGAATGGGATACTTTTTGAGAGACCTGGAAACCCTTGAAGAATGAAACAAACAGGAGAACAATTTATACAACAACAAAATAGTAAGGACTGATAACTTTGAAAGATTTAGGAACTCTTTTATCAGTTTAATGACCAACCACCATTCCAAAAGACTAATAATGAAACATACTATCTTCCTCTGGACAGAGAAGTGAAAGATTCAGAATACAGAATGAGATATGTGTATATGAATGTATATATACATATGTGTGTAGATATTTTTTTCAGCCCTGTCTAACTCTTCATGACCCCATTTGAGGTTTCTTGGCAAGGATATTGGATTAGTTTGCCATTTCCTTCCCCCGCTCATTTTACTGACGAGGCAACGGAGGCAAACAGTGTTAAGTGACTCACCCGGGGTCACAATGGTAGCGTCTGTGACCTCATTTGAACTCAGGTCTCCCTGACTTCAGACCCTGTTCTATCCATTGCGCCACCTAGCTACCCATTTGGGAAACTACACAGTGCTTTAAATAATTCTCAAGCTGCTCACCAAAGCAAAAATGATGACATTTAACATCAATATTATCCCAGTGACACTACATGGCTGCAAATCACCGAACACCACTATGTCAAAAGAGCCAACCGCTAACAAAGGGCAACAAAAAAGACATCTGCTCCACCCGGGCTTCAATTTTCCCCTCTATAAAACGTGGCGGCTAGATGGCTCCGTGAGTAGACCTCTGGCTGGGGGTCGGGGTCAGGAAGATCTGAGAGCGATTTCGGCATCTCACTTCCTAGCTGTGTCACCCTGAGTCAGTCACTTAAGCTCTACTTGCCTTAGTTTCCTAAACGGTAAGATGGGAATAATATTCAGCACCTACCTCACAGGGTGAGGATTAATATTTGTAAAAGTACATGGCACATAATAGGCGCTATGCAAATGCCTGTTCCCTTCCCTTCCGTAAAATGAGAACTTTGGAGTACAGCTCTAACGTAATATGATTGATGTCGTGTCACCTATTCTCCTTTTGCGTTTGTTGGTATGCTGTTTCCGTTAGTTTTGGGGGGGCGGGGGCGGGGGGGCGTTGTTTTTTTAAAGGGAAAAGGAAATCGTCCACCCAGGCTGGATCAAAGCTGGAGGCCCTACACCAGCCTCCCTCACTCCTAGCTCCCCAGAGGCATTCAGGCAAAGAAGGGGTTGTTACCCGCATACAGGCCTAACCGATTATCACAGAACCAGTCAAGAAAAAGACTCACCACCAGCACCAAAGTTACCTGGGGGACCCCGCCCCAGGCCGATTCCTCCAAAAGCCGAGAACCTTCACCGCCGCGCGGACTCACCGCAAACCGAACCACCAGACCACGCTCCGCCGTTTCTCCTACAGCATCACATCCAGCGCGCGGGTGATTACGTATTACGCCACTTGTCCATCGCCTCAGCCTGAAAGCGTGAGTATGAGCGCCTTACGTCATCAGAAAAGCGACGAGGCTGCAATAACAAAAAAAGAGGGCCTGCTGTTGTGGTTTTTAAGACCGCGGGCCTGGTGATGTCCTTGATAGTTGTCGGAGCTAAAGAGGTAAAGTCGGATTGAATCTCGGCGCTATGTGCTGTGAGCGAAAGGTAAGCACCGCTTCACGTGAGTTTCTACTGTCTTTCATCCCCAGCCTTCCAGACTCGTTTATTTACTCCCACCTGCCTTTATCAGGGTTTTCAGCAACCATTTTTAAATACCTGCTGTGTCCATTACGTTGTCTTGAACGCAGACGATCCAGATGAAAAAATACACACACGCACACACACACACACACACACACACACACACACACGCACACACACACACCCCATATACCACTTCTTCTTTACTTATTTAGTGTCATTGTCAGGCTTCAGCCAATGAAACAAACATAGGTTCCTGGAACAACAGTATAGCTATGCAAGCTATATCCCACTTTCTTTCATTTTTAATTAAAATGATTAATTTAGTTACAGTCTCATTTCACTGGGGTCACAGGACACTTTCCTTTCTGATTTACTAACAAGGAAAATGCAACTATTTAAGGGCCTGAGATTTTTTTTTTAATTACCAGCCTAATAAAGCTATGGAAAATTACGTTATGAGAGTAATAGTAATAACAATAGCTAGCATTTATAGAACTCATGTATGTGCCAATCACTGTGTTAAACGCTTCACAGTGATCTCATTTGATTCTCACAACAGCCCTGGGAGGTAGGTGTTATTATTAGCCCCATTTTACAAATCAGGAAACTGAGGCAAACTGAAGTTTAGTGACTTGGTCAGTGTCAAAGTATGTTTTACACCAAAAGAGGGGATTGTTGTGTATTTACAACTGAAGGGGAGAGATGTTCTTGATCTTGTTTTTTTCTTATTCTGACCTGTGATTTCATTACTGTAGGAAATGCTTTATTGTGAGGAAACTAGGCAGTTATTCTATAATTTAGAATTTTGGCAAGTTGCGTCAGACAGAGATTAAGTGGCTTGTCCAGGGTCACATGGCAAATATGCATCAGAGACAAGACTTGAACTCAGGTCATTGTGCCTCTAAATCTGGTTCTCTCTTCACCACAGTAGGTTAACTCTATTCTTTTGCGTTTCTTAAATATAGAATTTGTTTTTCCAACAAACACAGGTATTGATTTTATTCTTAATTATTTTTCTTAAAGGTGGTTTGTTTAAATCAATTGGGAAACAAAGGGAAAGCTGTCTAACCCAGTAATGCTTTAGTCTCAGAAAATGTTATAGCAGATATAAATGGAAGTATGTGGCACCCCCCCCAAACTTCAGCTAAGTTGAAGGAGAAAAGATAGAGACAATGAGATATGAAGATGAGGCTCTTTCAGGTATAATTGAATTATTTTGTCCTTTTTAAGGAATCTTAGGGTTTGACTAGCTCAACTACAAAATGCTAACATATACAACCAGGACATAGATTACTTCAGTAACTTGTCCCATCCAGTAAGCATAAGAGAAAGGTAGATATGTGCTAGATGGTCACAAATAAGTTAGAATTAAGTCTCTTACCAAAGTAACCAGAAAGAGTAGTAAAAAAAAAAAAAGAGGCTATTCCTCTCCCACTTCCTGCTTGGGAGGTAACAAACCCCAGAACTGAGGCCCTGAGGGGAGTAGAACTAGAACGACTTCTGCCAATTCAGGGTAAGGGTCTGTACCCTTTTTAAAAGAATGCTATAGGGTGCAGCTAGGTGACACAGTGGATAGAGCTCTGGACTTGGAAGTCAGCAGGACCTGATGACCTCACATACTTGACACTAGCTGTGTGTCCATGGGCAAGTCACTTAACCTCCGATTGCCTCACCAAAAAAACCCAAAAAGAGCACTATAACTACCTGTGTGACTCAAGGCAATTGCCTCACACAGACAAGCCTGATGTTGTAGGTCATAGAGACTGCAGCTGCTCATTGAAAAGAGCCTAGTGAGTCAAATGGATTAATACACCATGCCCTTTGAGAAATACAGTCAACAGCCAGCCAAGTAGCCCAGCCTAGCAGTAGAACAACTGATGTATCACCAATGCCACACCTCTCAGTTAACTTCATGCAGACTCTCCAGAGAGAAAAAAGATATCAAGGCCTTGTAGGCCATAGTTGTGACTTGCCTTGGCTACATATACTCCCTTCACATCTTCCCCATTACTGTTGTACTTCGAGTTTATGAACATTTTCCCCTCCAAAAGACTCTAAAATGCATATGTGGGAGAATGTGCCCTAGGGCAGGGGTGGGGAGCCTGCAGCTTCAAGGTCCTTGTGTGCAGCCTTTTAACTGAGTCCAAGTTTTACAGAACAAATCCTTTTATTATGTGAAGTTTAGATTCAATCAAAGGGCCACGATTGGACCTAGATGGCTATATGGGACCTTGAGACGCCAGATTTCCTACCTCTGCCTTAGGGACTGGAAATGTTGTATAATTATTCTTTCCATGTCTTGTGAGTAAAGGCCTTTGCTAAGAGTTACTGACTGACTATTAAAATAAACCACTCTAGTGGTAGCTTATCAACAACCTATAGCCCAAGGAGTAGCCACACACCACGTTCCCTCTAAAACCTGAAATAGTAACTGCCCTATAAGGGCCCAATCTTGGAATCTGTGTGCATGTTGGAGGAGCAAGTCTAGAAAAGGGTTCTATACATAGAAGTCATTTAAAGTTCTCCAGCTACTTTCAAGCCTGTGGTATGATTCAGTTCTTCTGTTTTCAACTTATTGGTTATTGGATAACAGTCTTACATTTAGAAATTTCCAAGAGCCAGATTAAATATTTATAGACTTTATTTTTTAAAAAATTAACACCTTCTGCCCCTTTCTACCACTTGCCACTAATAGTAAAGAAGTAAAAAGGGGCCAAACACTACTTTGTATTTTTCTTTTATGTTTGGGATTTCCATGACTAAATAATTTGTTACCTAGTGGCCTATCTACTAGTAATAACATTATCTACATGTAATTAGGTTGGTTTTTAGATTAAAGGCAGTCTTTTGCTGAGGCTGTACTTAATTCTTTTCCAATATGGTAGAACTGCTATGTACCTTACACTGTACTAATATAGCATTAAGAAACTAAGGCATCTTCATAGCCAAGATGACCGAGTACTACCAAACACAAAAGTAGTATCATACCTACCTTTTTTTCTTTCCTGAACTTTTTGAAGTCTACTTTCCTAATATCTAGAGTATGTGGTTTGCCATGACCAGAGTTCCCCTTTTGACTATCACAAACCATAATTATATCACTTTCTCTCAAAATTCCTCTTTTTTTCTGTTTCCCCAGCCAATTCATTGTTAGTCAGAATTCAGTCTAAAATAACAGTTCTCTTCATTACTAATTCTGCTTCCAAAATTAGTAGAAGCTTTGTATTTATGGAATGAGATTTCTAGCAGATATCTAGGTTTTGGCATTCTTATAACATTACTAGTCTCTACAGCAATTAATTATTTTCTCCTTTATCTGAACACTTAACAATCATTTTCCCTCAACTTTCACTTCTCTTTCTCTTTCCTTTGATATTCACTCAGTTGTTCCCTATTTCACTTCTTCCTTCAGAGAGGGTGCATTTCTACACAAGTATCTTTTCTTAGTATAATAATAAATAGCAGACATTTATATCATGCTGTCTTATTTAAATCTCCCAAAAATCAATCAATACACATTAAGTGCTGAGGATACAAAAGAGTCAAAAGACAGTTCCTGCCTTCAAGGAGCTTACAGTCTAATGGGGGAGACAATATGCAAACAAAAATATGCAAAGCAAGCCATACACAGGATAAATAGGAAATAATTAAAAGAAGGAAGGCATTGGAATTAATAGGGATTCTGGAGGCTTCCTGTAGAAGATGAGATTGTGATTGGGACTTGAAGAAACCCAGAAAGGTCTTTAGTTGAAGTTGGCACAGGAGAGTGTTCTAGGCAAGAGAGACAGCCAGAGAAATTGCTCAGAATCAAGAGATGGAGTGTCTTGTTTATAGGACAGCCAGGAGGCCAGTGTCACTAGATCAAATAATATGTGTCAAGGAGTAACAACCTTGTATAGCAGGTGCTGTTATACTTGTTTTATAGATGAGGAAACTGAGGTTGAAAGAGTGGCCCAGGATCAACCAGTTATATATACTGGAGACTGAGCCACCCTGTCTCCAAATATACCATTCTATATACAATGCCATACGGGATTCAGGTCCTTTGAAAATCACTACTTTGAGACCCATTTTTTTGTTTGTTTATTTGTTTTGTTTTTTGTATGTTCATTTATTTTTGCATAGTCATAGAATCTCAGAATTGGAAAGAAACTCTGATACCATCTAATCCATTGTGTACAGAAATTCACTCTACAATGTCCCCAGCATGTGGTCAGTCATTCTACCTTTGCTTAAAGGCCCTTAGTAAAGGAGAAACCACTTGTAGCCCATTCTATTTTTAGACATCTGTAATTATTAGAACATTTCCTTTTGTTGTTGTTCAGTCGTGTACCCCACTTGGGTTTTCTTGGCAAAGATACTGGAATGGTTTGCCATTTCTTTCTTCAACTCATTTTGCAGATGATGCACTGAGGAAAATAGGGTTAAGTGGCTTGCCCCCAGGGTCACATAGCTAGTAAATGTCTGAGACCAGATTTGAATTTAGGAAGATGAGTCTTCCTGATTTCAGGCCAGACATTCTATCCAGCGTATCACCTGGCTGCCTTAAAATTTCCTTATACAAGCTGAAATCCTCCTCTCTTTAATTCCCACAATTCACTCTTACATGTGGCTGGCCTTCAATTACTTGCAACAGCTTCCATACCCTGCTCCTCCCAAGTTTCTTCTCCAGGCAAACATCCCTCATCACCAGACAGTTATTAAGTGCTTAATTAATAAATACATTGAGGATACAAAAATCAGCAGTGACATTCCTGCCCATGAGTTTATG